ATGTTTTTTCCAACCAGGGCAGTATTGAACCACCACCAAATCAAGATAGCCTTCAGAGACTAGAGTTGATTTTACTGAGTATTGAAACCATAATTATGGAAATTAAATTAAGTCATGATCCATAGTAGTTGTTCTTTATTAGCAAGGCTGATATACATGATTTTTTAACGGGATATGAGGAACTAGGCAATTCCATATTGCACATTTGGAGCTCGTAAGTATAGTTTTATGTTGATTTCTATTTATATTCATACGTTCTTGTACTTTAACATAAAGATTTGACCTTACAAGTACATCCATGAGGTATGTGTTGAAATGAAGATTCTAAACAAGTAATGTATCTTAGATGCTGCGAGGATTGCTCTTACTCGCGGTTCTCCAGGACACGAAATCAAAATTTACCTACAAGAGAAGTTGATGGAGAAATGGAGCATCAAAGATTGTTATATTTCCCTGTTTTACTGCGAGTAAGTATATATTAACTTGTGTTTTCATTTATAAATAAATTTTATCTATATTATTTATTATGATAAATGTTTATGCAGGAGACATTGACAACTACTTATTATATGTCCCAAGAAAAATAATATAATTGTGTTTTGCTCTGTGCACCCGATACTGCCTGACGTTGCGGTTAACGCTTTTAGTGGGTAAGTGGTATTATTTATTATACTTAAATTTCACTTTAGAATTGTATTTTTTATTCATGTTTAGTTTTAACCGACATGTGTAAAGTGATGGAGGAATTTAATGCGCACAAAAAAAATCTTATGGGTAAAAAGCCAGTCTATATTTATCCAAAAGTAAGTATATTAATTATGCTTTTTGATATTATATTATTTGTGAGTATTATTGTGACATTAATAAGTGAAAATTATTTGTAGTGTTGAAAACAAACTGACGACCATTCTTGTGGATATTATGTTATGAGATATATGCTCCATATTGTCTTTGGAGGCATTACACATGTATGGATGAAGAATAAGGTATTAGCTTAATCCATATACTTAAACTAATATTGTTGTTTTCAGCTTATCATTGTTTAAATTTTGTTCTAATTGAAGGAGCTTAGCATCCAAACACCATACTCAACAAAAGATATTGATGACATCCGATCACGTTGGGCCAGTGTCTTCTTACCTCATTATGAAGCTCAGAAACTACAACAATAGTTTTTATTGGTTGTTATAATCTTATTTTGTATATGAACAAAGGTTTTGTCATTTTGATGTGCAGATATGATCATGTCAAACAATGTATTTTGTCTTGATTTAAAATTTCACATTTGGTTTAAAATGATATATATAGACAATGGAAATGATATAGACAATGAAAATGATACAGATAAAAAATGATACAAGCCAATGAAAATGATACAGACAAAAAATGATACAGGCCAGTGAAATTGATAAATATAGCCAAAAAGCTTCATTCTAAAACCCTCGGTTATTACATAAAACTGAGATAAATGAATACCTTATCACCTCAGATTATAAATAAAATTGATATCTATGTGGCACGCGCAACGAAATGTAGAAAATAAAAATATGCAGTTCTGAGGGATCAAACCCATGATATTTTCATTTATAACCTTGGTGTTTAAAACACCGAGGTGTTAAGTGTAGACTTTTCATGACGACCTGATTTACCTCGCTTTAGTAGCCAAGGTAAAACACATTTCACATCCGAAGTTACAAGCATTATTTGTATTAGTGTAAGGATCCTATCATTCCTATGTGTTGCACCCCAAAATTTTCCCTCCTAATTTATTTTATTTGGCTTAGACCTTTGCATTCATTCGCATATATTCTGTTAGGTCACTAACATAGCATGCATTTCATTTAAAAGAGCATATGAGGTTCAAAAGATTAATAGCTATGAATCTAGGGTTTATGACTGATTTGAGGTGTATATGATTGAGTAAGGTTGATTATTCTGTTTCTTCTTGGTGTGCAAGACAGTGGAATTAGGGTTTTGATTCGTGCTCATTTTTGGACTTCTTCTCCCTCAAGCAACAAGGGTATTATCTTCTGATGAAGAACTGGGTGCAGGTTTTTGTCAAGAATTCAAGGGTAAGGCCTAGCATACGTAGTCCTTAAATCAAGACGTCTCTTCAGATAAGTGTGCCGATCATTTGATCAGGATTAATGACTATGACTTGGCATTCATCCACTCGTCAGTTAACCAAATCAGGTTTTGTTGAATCATGGTCCGAAGATATTTCATCTGGATATTTCTCTGTGCATCTGAATTGAGGAATCAAGGCTGTGAGGTATGGCTTTTATGTTAAGTTGCTTCTTCATGAAATGTATACTTTAGGGGGGTTAAGGTTTATATCCTATTATACTTAGGTTACTCAACATTTTCTTTGGGTATTTCGATGGATAACGAGACATGATATAAGGAGGGTTTTGGGAATTCATTAAGATCAAGGGCATTATCGTTCTCAATTGTTTGATCTCTTGTATTGCAAGTTAGCTTGGAGGTGGGAAGTAAAATTAAAGTTTTCTTCAAGACATGGTACTTTATGAGATCACTAGTTATCGAGTCAAAGGCTTATGGATTGAATTTCAAAATATTAAATCAGGATTCAAAAAACAATTTTGTGGTTTCATTGTTATGCTTGTTGCTCGCAAGACAATCGGTTACTAATTGATTGGTTTTGTTAATTGAAGATTGGTTTAGAATTGTTCATCCAAGTTTCATTTGTGTTCCAAGTTAAGATTTGAAGGAAATTCATATGGAATACAAGTTGCAGATTGCAAAAACCACCATGGTTCATTCAAGTTCACCTCTGATTCAAAGTTTATTGCAATTTGAAAGTCTATCCCAAGGGATTGTCTCGTTACATTCACCAAGGCACATTGAAAAATGGAAACATGCCTTCACCTTATGTTGCTTTCGGCTATTGAGATACGTAAGGAGCATATATTTTTGAGATAAAATTACAAGTTAAAAATCCAAATGACATTCTTCATACAATTTTCAATGTTCATTCAAAATTCAAGTTTGAACCAAACCCCCGTAAACCTCTTTCTGCTAATAGCTTTTTGATTCAAAACTTGAACATAAACTCTTGATTCAAATAATTCCAATAGCCAAAATTCATCACCATTTAGATTACCAAAATAAACCATTACAAAATTATCAAGGAATAATTATACAATTTTTTTGGTTCCAAGCCTAATTCTAAACCTATTCTTCAAGCTTTCGAGCTGCCTCGTTTCATCTTCATGATTTAACCTTCTCTTGCTCCCTTCAAAAGTTTTCCCAAAGCTCCAAGAACCAAATAGAATTTCTAACAATGATCAGCCCTACACAATTGGAAAATCAGTTCAAAAATTAGCATCACAAAACCAATCCAAACTATTAACTGATGAGAATAGCTCAGCAACTTAAAACAATTCAAAACCAGTTTTCAATACTTGCATCTAGAAATTCATAAGTAAATACAACATAATGCCTGGTTTGTTAATAGGAAACAATATTTTTTAGCTCATTCACTTGTACAAAATCGGAGGATATACAAAACCTGGAATTACTGGCTCACTAATGTTTGTGTAACAGAAAAGCTGAGAAAATCATAAGAGGAATATATCAATTCAGCCGCATTTGTTCAATAAGAAAAAACAGAACTAGAGATTCAACAAAACCTCTTTCAACCAATTTCTAAACCGTTTCCAACTTTTCCATTTTTTTAACCGGCATAATAAACTAATGAAAAGACCATGATAGAATTTTCAACTAAACTTCTATAACCAACTGGCCTAAGAAATCAAAACAGAATTTTATTAAAAGCTAACAGCTAACTAACAATTTCTAACTGCTAACAGAACTCACCCAACTGTTTTAACCATAACAAAAAACTAACTTTCTCATTTTTATAACAGAATTTTAAACCTATAACCATATCCTAACAGTTTTTAACCTAACAACCTCTAAACAACCCTCTAAACTCCTAATTGTCATAACCAACTTCTAACCAATTCCGTAACAAACTTAACAGAAAACCAGTTGGCTTATCTAACTACCAGAAATAGGATAACAACTAACCAACTAACTTTCTAACTATTTTTTCATCAAACCACAACAGTACTAACAAAATGTAACAGAATATAACAGATTGCAGGGAGAGAATTGATTCACAAAAAAAAAGGTCATAGAAAGACCACAAAATAACAAACTCCCTCAATCCAATGAAAAATCTCTCAAGCTGTAATCAACTTCATAACCGTTTTCATTCACAACTTCCTCTATATAATAGAAATTCAGAGATTCAGGGGGGGAGGGGATTCACATCTCAAAGATATAATTATACACAATCATTATCCATTCACATTTTTATTATTCAGAACCTCACGATGAAAACACAAAAACTCACCTCTAATATTATTTCATCTATTAACATTCTCGGGGAAATTTCGACACTTTCTTTTTGAAGTTCTTGAAGTTTCATGCCATATCTCTCTGTAAATCGCGTAACCTATCATCATCTTCATTTCTCTGCTTCATCCTCTTTGATCTTCAACATCTCTGCGCTTCAATTGTCACCATATTATGCAGTTTCATCACACAACTACATATTCATTCATCATCAAAACGCGCCTCCGTCATAATACAAAAACTGCATCATCACTGCATTACGATACTCATCAATATCTTTCTGCAACACAATCAACAACACAACCACGAAGTAAAAATCGGATAGAAGAAGAGGAAACACAAGGAATACCTGAATTTATCTTCAGGGTTTTTAGTCGTTATCGCCATCGAAGAGGCCCCCGGACTGTCTCCGATAGCCGAAAAATATGAAACCAAATCATGAAAGATGGAGCGCAAGACATGGAGACTTACTGGTATCTGAACTCGTCGGTTTCGCTAAAGCTTTGAAGAAGCGTCGGGGAATGTAAGCTTTATATTTGTCAGGTCTTATCGTCTCTTGATGTACGAGTTCGTTGGTATGAATCGAAGAAGGTTGAATCGGGTTAGAAATGGTGAGGTTATGGCTCCATAAGTCGAAACCGTGAACAGGGGAGGACGAAATCTGAGACAAATCAGATGTGCAAGGGGACGAATTGAAATAGCAAGACATTCAAATGACCGTCGTGACGGAATCATAGATGATCTGAAAGAAGGAGAAGACCTTGTTGTTTAGGCAGAATGAGCGAGTCTGGGCGTGGAAGCTTGATACGGATCGTAGTGAAGTGAAACGAACAGCGGCATAAGAAAGAGAATAGAAGCAACGAACCGGAGACGAGATCGTGGAGTTTGAAGGCAGAAATTGTCGGAGCTGAGGCTTCTACCATGGAGGCTGTTCTCTTTGAAAGATAAAGATGGAGGAAGATGAGATGTCCCAATTTTCCAACCCTAACCTCACTATATCCAAGCTCTGTATTTCATTTTCCCCCTTTTTCTTTTAATTATCCTTTTTGTTTCCATCAATTAATTTGTACGATAAATAACAAAAAATCTGAAAATGGGTGGTAATGGTATGTGGGGTGGACCGATTTCAATCCCTGAGGCCCGTTAGTTTTTTTTTTAGAGGGTGGCTATTGGCTGTACAAACAAAAAGAGTTGTATGGGCTTAGAATCCAGAATTCCATTGCTGGGTTATACACCTGCATGCAATGATACCCCCCCTGTTCATAGTCTTTAGGTTATCCTTTAATTCTCTTTTATCATATTTTTGCTAATAGAATTAGTGAATTTTAGGAGATAATAGAAAATTCTAATTAGGAATATATTAGAGTAGAATTTGATTTCTTTTTTTATTCCTTATGTGAAAAATCCTAGAAAATAGTAGAATGTTTTAGATTTCTCTTTAGAATTTTATTGGAATTTTCTATTATTACTTTTATGTTTGGTAATCATTTTGTTGTCGCTTTTTAGCCAAGATTTTGTGATAGAATATCAATGTAATTTTTGCAATGTGGAATGTTGGGAGATTAATTCTATGATCACTCGTACGGAGCAGCTTTCGGTAGAGTTTTCTTATCGCTTGCATGATATCGAAGAAGGCAACAGACCTCCTCCGTTTGGTATCATCGCAATCTCATTTTTTCCTCATTTCCGCATTTATCGCTTCCTAGGGATCATGTAAAGTATGATAACCTTAGGTTTAGAAATAGACTAGTCTCCCCTTGGCTTTTCTTTCCACTTTTCGTATATGCATTTAAAACTAAACAAAAAAACTACTTTTTCTTACAAACTTCAAAAATACTTAAAAAATTTACTGACGAGAATCGTGCCTTTGTTAAACATGGGAGATGATAAGCGGGTCTCTTCTCGATCTTATTGTTTTTCTATTCTAAGCCTTGGCATGGTTCAAGTCTCAAAGACTCATTTCATGAATAAGTAGGGAAATGGCTAAAATCTCTCTCTTGAGGTCAACTAGCTATTATCTACAAGCAAAAACACCAACAAACACAAACCAATTCAAACCTTTTTGTGCGCCCAGGCACATTTTCTCTAAACTTTTTCAAAAGAGAATGTTAATTCACTTTTGTGCTGACGCGTAAGACTCCAAAGGTCGAGTTGTGGTAGAAGGCGAAATTAATATTGTTCATTAAAAAATACAAACCAACAAAAAACATATGAGCCGAACTACGGCTGCTCTGATTCCTTAAAAGGGATACGTAGGCATCGAGGTAGGGCCCGAACGAGCACAACTATTATTTTCCCTACATTTTTTTCTACTTTATTTTGCATGCATTCTCCCTTTAGTAGTAATAAACAATAAACATAGATTGAACACACCTATAAGATAAATAACAAGAGTGGATACCATAGAGTACTACGGGCGTGTGAGGTGCTAATACCTTCCCCTCGCGTGAAAGACTCCCTTACCCTTACCTCTCGGTCGCAAGACCGTGACTTCTCCCTTCAGCCGGTTGTTTCACTATGTATAGCTTCTGACATGCCTTGATTTTGCTTTCCTCTTTGCTTATATTGTAGGTTGGATGTGTAGGAGTTGTCATGATTTTTAAATGATACATCTTAAACTTCTTTAGAAGCTCCTTTGCATATTTTGTCTGATGAACATAAAATCCATCTTTGCACATATTTATTTGAGTTCCAAGGAAGTATTTCAATTCTCCCATCATGCTTATTTCAAATTCAGCCTGCATTGCGTTAGAAAATTCCTTGCAAAGAGTAGCATTAGTATAACCAAAAATGATATCATCTATATATACTTGAACAATCAAGATTTCAGTTTCAATGTTTTTCTGAATAGTGTAGTGTCCTTTTGACCCTTTTTAAAATGATTTTCTAACATAAAATTTCCTAGTCTCTCATACCAAGCTCTAGGAGCTTGTTTGAGTCCATAAAGTGATTTTTTTTAGTTTTAAAACTTATTCCGGGTGGATAGAGTCCTCAAACCTAGGTGGTTGTTTGACATACACTTATTTATAAATGACAAAATTTAAAAACACACTTTTAACATCCATTTGATATAATATAATATTATGATTAGTAGCATAATAAATAAGTAGTCTAATTGCCTCTAACATTGCAACAGGTGCAAAGGTTTCAAAGAAATCAATACCTTCTTACTGATTGTAACCTTGAGCTACAAGTCTAACTTTATTTCTTACCACTTCTCCTTGTTCATTGAACTTGTTTCTATAGACCCATTTTATTCCAATAATGTTGTTCTTATATGGTTTGGGTACCAGATCCTAAACATTATTCCTCTGAAACTGGTTCATCTCTTCTTTCATTTCCACAATCCATCCATTATCTGATAGTACTTCATCAATGGAAATAGGTTCAATCATGGAAATAAGTCCCAACATGGAATTTTCCTCTCTGAATGGAGATCTTGTCTTCATAGGACTATCCTTATTTCCAATTATCATCTTCTCTGGATGAGAAGACTTGTACTTGAAGATCTTTTTATATTTTTTTGCTTCTTAATAACCATCATGAGCTCGTTTAGATGCTTATTCATTTAGATGAGCTTCAGAAGGTTAATCAGCTTCTGGAACAACTTCTTCTGGACAAATCTTTTGATGGGTTTTTGAATAGTCAACTACAAGAGGTTGAGAAACTATGGAAAAACTACTACCAAAGGTTTCTTCAAATACCTGCAACTCTGTAAAACTTTCAACAAGCTTTGAAATTTTATTATCAAGATCTTTGTCATCAAATTTTATGTGTATTGACTCTTCAACCATTCTCATTTCAGAGTTATACACCTTGTATGCCTTAGATTGTTCAGAGTATCATAAGAAGATTCCCTTTTGAGCTTTGGCATAAAATTTCTTTTGATAGACTTTGTTGTTCAGAATGTAACATGTACATCCAAACCGATGAAAATTAGAGATATTTGGATTTCTTCCTTTGAATAGCTCATATGATGTTTTGTTCAGAATAGGTCTAATATAGATTTTGTTGTGAACATAACATGTTGTGTTAAAAACATCTGTCCACAAGTACTTTGCTAAATTGTTTTCACGGATCATGGTTCTAGCCATTTCTTATAAAGATATGTTCTTCCTCTCTACAACTCCATTTTGCTGTGGAATTCTAGAAGAAGAGAACTCATGGAAAATTTGATGTTTTTCACAAAAAAATTCAAATGGCTCATTTTCAAATTCTCCTTCATGACCACTTCTGATTTTTAAAATCTTTGAATATTTTTCATTTTATACTTGTATGTAGAAAATGCTGAACACATCATATGACTCATCTTTGGATCTAAGGAATTTAACCCAAGTCCATATGTTGTAGTCATCAACTATGATTAATCCATATTTCTTTCCATTGATTGATGCAGTACTAATAAGACCAAACAAGTCAATGTGAAGCAGTTCTAAGGTTTTGGAGGTAGAGACAATGTTCTTAGATTTAAAAGAGGTTTTAATGATTTTTCCTACTTGGCATGCCCCACAAAAAGAATTTGAGTGATAATTGAGTTCTAACAGACCCTTAACAATTTTTTAGCTTGCTGAGAGTAGTCTCCATTTAGCATGACCTAACCTTATGTGCCAGAGAAACTTTTCATCACTCAACAATAGAAGGCAAAGTACCTTCTGATCAGCCAATTCAAAAAAGTTAAATTTATTAACATTACCTTTCCTCTTACCTTTGAATACTATGGACTTGTCAAATTCATTATGATTGTACATATGTTCTTATTAAACACTACTTCATAACCATTGTCACAAAATTAACATATGATAAGTAGGTTACACTTTAGTTCATCTACTAACTAAACATTATTAATAGAGATAGAATAATTACAAACAATACATGTACCAATGATATTTCCTTTCTAGTTTCCTCTAAATCCCACAGTTCTTGCCTCTTTTAGAGTTAGGGTTTGAACATATGTTTTTCTCTTGTCATATATCGTGAGCAGCCACTGTCCAGGTACAAAGATTGTTTTTTAATCCTCCCTTTAGGTATATATGCAACAAAACTATTACAAATTTAGGTACCCATAATCTGATGGGTCCTTTAGGGTTAGTTCTGAAAGGTCTCTTTTGACTTTGTATCTTAGCCTTTATGTAGTGGGGCTTGGAATCATTCACATATTTTAATTTAAAAGCTTTAGGTCTTGAATAGTTCTTAGCCTTTGATTATGAACCCTTCATAACCTTAAACTATGATGTCTTAGGTTCTAGTTTCTTCAGAGCCTTAGAATTTAGAATCATAGGTTCTGGTTTCTCTAGAACCTTATACTTTGAGGTCTCTGGTTCTGATTTCTCTAGAACTTCTAATTCTGCAATCTTTAGTTCTGACTGGTTCAGAACCTCTACTCTGTCATCAACAAATACAAAGCAAGAATGAAGTCCTTTTTGAGTAGAACTAGGAGAAAATGGTTCTGCTGGTTTTATTCAGGTTTCAGATTCTGGATCAACAGACTGTTCAGAAAACCAATACATTCTCCTTTAGTCATGCTTATGCCATAAATCACAGAAGCAATTTTAGTCATGTTAAATCCAGAAATGAAAAACTTCATAAGAGCCATTTCATACCCACTGAGGGGTTTGTCCGACACATCATTTATTAAGGCAATATGATAACTTTCTAGTTTGTTAATATTATATTTGGAAGATTTTAATTCATCTTTCATTCGATCATAATCCTTTTTTAAACTTTTCATATGTCTGGATTTATCTTGACAATGACCCATAAGGTCTTGAATGAAAGAAATTAAATGTTAACGAGATAGATTGGAAAATACCTCATATTCTTCTTCAGAATCTATTCCAGAACCTAAGTCAAATTTTGTCTGAAGATGTTGAATCCTTTAGAGTCAGTCTGACTTCTTCTTGATCTTTGTTAGATTCTCCTTCTT